TGGGTCTGCAGAATGCAGGCAGAGTGTTTCATCTTTAATTTACTTCTCTGCCCCTCTGACTTCAGTGGCTCCAAGAAAACTTACAAGGAAGATTTTTGGGCAGGGAGGAAGGAAGTGATGTATATTTTTTTAATATACCTTAAAGGTACAAATGACTAAAGAGATACAAAATTATTTCAGGCTGAAGTAATAATGAAGAGAAGAGATTAGACATTAGTTGATCCTCAGTGGTTAATGGAGGGGAAAGGCAGGGGAGAGGAGAGCTTATACTGGTGAATGCTGCGGCCACAAACACCTCTCTTGAACACATCCAATTTCACTGATGTGAAAATCTCCACATGAAGGAACAGACGAAAAAGAGCTTAAGTGGGAACAGGGTGCAGAATGCCAAGTGCTACACTGAATAATTCAGATCCAGGCAGCACTATTGGCCAGGCAAGAAAATCACACCCCCCTGCTAGTTTTAAAATCAAAGGCCAAGGAAGGATAAAAGAGAAAGACAACACCTCTTTAAAGCAGAGATTACGCTCAGTGGTTCCCATTTCCCAACTTCCCACAATGTTTTGTTACAGCGAGAGCGCCGGAGCCGGGGTACTGCGGTAGTGCCAAGGCAGGGCACCACGTTGCCCACGGCTGACCAAGGAACCTGGAAAATGCTGCCGCCTTCCCGACACCCCTCCATCAGTCCAACGGCAGGAAAAAGCCAACTCTGAAGCAGGCACCAACCAACCCTGACTTCATATGAGTTGCCTTCGCAAGGCTTTTTCCAGCACGTAAGTAGTTCTTCGGTTGCCAAAGCTGAGGGCGAGACGCCATCAGGGCTTTCACTTGGGTCGTGATTATGACTGAACTCAACCAGGTTCTCTCCCCTGCCTCCACCCTTCCCAAATTAGAGCAAGGCTTCTCCAGCACCGGCTGACGGGGCTGGATACACGGATTTCCAGGCGAGGGATGGAAGGCACCACCATAAGGAGAGGCCCGGCGCCGGGTGCAGTACTCCCTGGAGAAGGGGCATCCAGCAAACTACCTTGCCTTGGCCACGCACAGCCAGAAGCACAAGGGTTATCAAGTTGCTTCTGCAACTTTTAGACTACAGCTACTACGTTAAGCTCGAAATAACTGTCCTGGGTGTGTTTGGTGAAAAGGTGTTATATTTTACGGGGCTTGAAAGATGGAGTGCTACTGAAATCCCATTTAATTCTCACTATTCTAGCGCAGCTCCACATGGTCAACTACTATTAACGTTAAATTTTAGAAGTGCTTCTAAAAGCAGGCCCTGAAATACGACAGCCGTAACACATTCCACGACAAGGCCCAAAAGTAGAACAACTTTGACTTCTTTTTATTTTATAGCTGTCCAGGCTTTCTAGAAACAGGCACCACGTGGACAGAGCACACAAGTAGACCTTTGCTGGGTGCCCAGCCTCAAACCATCTCTTCCATCCGCCTCCTTCGCTCTTGATAAATTAAGTTAAACATCCCTTGGTTCCTTTTACACCTGCAACACTTCTTGCAGAGGAACCCACCCCGTGGACAAGCACGATGCAAATCACAGCAGTGGGATTCCTGGGCTGGTCTTATCATCCCATTACAAATGCTCCAAAAGCTGCTCCTCTTCCATCTGAACCTGTGACCTGCTTCCCAGAACTGGCAAAGCCAGGAAACCCCTCCAGGCTGATCTGCAAAGCAAGGAGTGCGTGCGTGGTGGGGAAAGGGGGAAAATGGTGGGAGGGAGAGAAGAGAACAAAAACAACCAAAAAGAAAAAAAAAAGAAGGAAAAAAGTGAGGCTGGCCTGTTTCTTTCTTCTCTACCATCTATTCAGTGGCAGCAGGGGAGGTCTACAACTGTTGCGTCACATAAAGCACAAAAAAACCTGACAAGCGTGTTTTAGCTGATGGAGACCAGAGTGGACAGGAGGCTGGTGACAGCTCGAACGAGGGGAGTAAGAGACCTCCGCTTTAATTGGCTGTTTCTTACTATCTCACCAAGCGAGCAGGAGCGTTACAGCCTGGATGGGCTGCTCAGAGACACAAGAAATGGCAGAAATTTCAGCGTGTAAATACTTTAGCTAACTACCCAGGCTCAGGTTAGACTCTCACTCCGGTCCAGGGATACTGAATATTTAACCCTGCCTGATCCACAAAAACATACATCAAAGGGAGGATGCAGAAGATGCTTTGAAATGGGGGAGGGGGGGCAGGCAGGGGGAGTTAAACCACAGGCTGTGCAGGACCTGGAGAGGTGTTTATAAATAATGCCACTAAAAATAATACACTGCGCACTCACATCTCTAACATAGCATTTTCTTCTCCACAGAACTGTGACAATGGTTATCTCGGTGGGATAATTATCTAGATTTGATGACAGATTAAAAAAATATATATCCCAAACACCTGTTCAAGAGTTTTGTGTTTTTAAAGGCCATTGCCATTAACCTTGGGCCATGCACTTCATTGTGTTTAATTAGCAAGCTAATGAAGCCAGTTTTATTCCCTTTCTCAAGCACAAGAGGATAAATACAAGACAGTGAAAGAGGAGACCAGATCCATTTGCAGCACAGTTCATTGCTGCATGGCATTACTTAAACTTGCACCAAAATAAAAGTAATGTAATGGCTCGGGAAAACATGTTAGCAATGCATTCTGCAAGACGAATCCTTTTACACCTTCTGTATTTTCTAAAGCTCATAGATTAAAACATGATTTCTGAACATTTGGGCTGCAGAAAATTTGCAAACAAAGGGCTAAAAATGAACATAATGTTTTCCTCAATGAATCCTCAGTATTCCAAAAATTAAGCATAACAGATTTTTTTTTTTTTTTTTTTTAAAGAATAGCAGCCCGTGCTTGCTTTGTTACAGCCAGCCAAGGTAGCGATGAGAAGCATCAACAATGGAGGTCAAGCGATTTTCGAAAAGCCCACCACTTTTGCACAGTCCTAACATGTACACACACAAAAGACATACTTCAAGCAAAGCCCAGTGCTATGAATCCCAGCAACACATTGCAACTTCGGGTATCTGAGGCTGTTTTATTTTTTTTGACTGAACAGCTTTAGGAAAAACTGGACAATGAAGATCACATTGATAAATACTCGTAAATAGCACAAGAAAGGCAGAAAGGCTTTAAAAGAGAGGGAGGGATTTACAGAATTGCTAATGCACTGATTTAATGATTCAAAAGGACCTTTCCAAATAAACAGAATTATATTCATCTTCTGGGGTTTCTTTATTGTATTTTCAAGGGGGAGAAAAACTCAGCATAGGTATGCCCTATCATATTATCTTTTTCATAACATGATACATCTCAGGAGCTTTCAGGGTTAATTTTTTTAAAGCAATTGCTTTTTTTCCTCCAACTTAGATTTCTGCCACTATACGCACAGAGCCATAGGATCAGGTTAAAAAACAAAACCAAACAAAAACCCAACCCCATACCCAAAACAAAAACAACAACAACAACAAAAAACCCAAACCCGGAAGCCATCTCTTTTATTGAATCACCCGAGATAAAAGGATTCCAAGATATATGGAAAGAAAATACATTGACCATAAATCTCCTTTATGCACATAATAGAATTTTCCAGCCAAGAGAGCTGTTGTGATGATAGCAACGCCGAGCACCACGAATACTGATGGCACACACACACACACACACTGCCTGCTTCTTCCAAAATACCTGCTCTCCCTCAGCACTGCTATGTAAATACAAGCCCGCACAACCCCCTTTCCTAACACATGGAAACAAAGCTGCGTACAAGTGTCCCAGTGATCAGATAAAAAAAACAAAAAAAACAAAAAAACACACCAAGCTGGCTTTGGTCACCATCAAATTAATTTTTTT